ACCCCCTTCCCCTCCCCCTTTTCTGATGAAGGGTCTAGGCCCGAAACATCAGCCTCTCTGCTCCTATGATGCTGCTTGGCCTGCTGTGTTCATCCAGCCCTGCACCTTGTTGTCCCACAATTCAAAAGGTATCTGAATGGGTGTATGAATAGGAACGGTTTAGAACAGGGGTGGGAAACCCGTGGCCTTAAGGCCACATGCAGCCTTCTGGGGTACTGGTTGCGGCCTTCTGCCTATTTGTCCGCAAATATTAAACCCTCCTTTTTAAATCTGTGTACCATTTTTAAAATTTTTACTGGTAACCGAGTTATGTCAAAAACTGAGAAAAGAATTTTAAAGGAAAAGAGCAGAGTGTTTAATGAAGAATGGGAATTGCAGTAGTACGTAGTTGCTGTGAAAGATAAAATGATGTGTTTGCTCTGCGACACCATAATTGCAACAGTGAAGAAATACAATGCATATCAGCATTATGCAGTTCATAAGGACCACAAATGTACTAAACTGGAAGGAGAAACCCGAAAGTCTGCACTTAAGAAAATGAAAGATCAAAAGCAGCAGCAAGTATTTGAAACGATGTCAGGACAAGGGACTGACATCACTGAAGCAACTCATAAAGTTGCACATATACTCAGAAGAAGAGGTAAGCCATGTAGCGATGTGGAAATCATAAAAGAATGCATTGTTGAAATTGTAGGATGCTTAGATTCAGAAAAGGTTAATAAGTACAAACAATTACCCCTTTCAAGAAGGGCCATAACTGATCGGCGACATGAATTAGCCCTCAATGTAACAGAACAACTTCATACAATATGCCAAAGTGAAGGCATTTATTATTCGATTGCCTTCGATGAATCCAGTGACATTACTGACTCAGCACAGGTGTTATTTTTTATTCGTGTTATAGTTGCAGATTTTCATTGCCACGAGGATTTACAGGCTTTGGGTACCCTTACACGTGGAACTCACATCTTCACTATCTTCCAAGAAAAATACCATGAAGCAAAACTGAATTTATGTAATTTAGTAAGTGTATGCACAGATGGTGCACCTTCCAAGACAGGAAACGTGAAGGATTTGTTGAGTTACTACAAAAAGAACTGCCAGATCCAGATACTTTGATTTCCTTTCATTGTCTTTTGCACCAACAGAATCTCTGTGCCAAATCTACTGTTTTAAGTGACACATTAAATAAAGTTATAAGTATTGTAAACCACATTCGAGCAAATGCATCATGGCATTGCCAATTTTGCAACATGTTTCAGCTTGATGATGAAGAGTCAGCGTGGATCTGCCATATCATTCTAAAGTGCGCCGGTTGTCACAAGGACAAATACTTGTAAAACTTTTCTCTTTGTGAAAATAAATCACAAGAATTTTTGAGGAACTAAATGAACTGTCTGAATTGTCAAAAGAGGATTTCTGCAGAAATGCTGCATTTTTGTGTGATATAATGTCAAAGCAAAATGATCTGAATTTTTTTTGCAAGGTAAAACTAAATCTATATATGATATGTGGCTAAAAATCCAGGCATTTTGGTAAAAGCTGACCTTTTTCAAAAGCTCTCCTTACCCAATCGGAACTTTCAGCTGACTATTTTCCTGAACTAGCAAAGGGTAATTAATGAACAGGATATAAGCAAATCATTAAGGAAATGCCACACGAAAGAATACACACTGTTCTAGATGCTCTGATTGAAAAATACAATGAAAGGTTTGCAGATTTTGAGAAACATGATCTCACACTGAAACTAGCTTTTCAACCACACCTGTTTGATGTCTCCAAAGCACCTGAATTGATTGATCTCTCAGAAGATAGTATTCTGAAGTCTCTATTTGATACTAGAAGGATCCCATTGAAATATGGAAAATTGTTATTAAATACCCACGTCTACATCAACATGCTCATCATGTTTTGTTTTGGCACAACCTACTGTTGTGAATCAACATTTTCAAATGTGATACAAATTAAAACGGGCTTGAGATCTAAGATGACAGCTTTTCACCTGGAGGACCAATTAAAGCTACAGTCAACGATTTTGGAACCAAATATCCGATTCCTATCTCACAATAAGCAATCACAAAAGAGTCATTAAATGGTGTGTTGTCTAAGTTTTTCACATATTATTTCTATTGTCAAACAAATAAATGTGTCTTTGCTGAATTTTTATTTTGTTTAAAGTTCTCATCTAATAGCAGGCATTAATTAAAATGAGTAATTACGTCGTCAAAATATGACATTTTGTTGTCTGTGTTAAATTCTCAGCATGTGGCCTAATAGGGTCTCGGTTAAATAAAATGTGGCCTTCCAATGTAAAAAGGTTCCCCACCCTTGGGCTAGACAAATGTTTTGTGCAAAAGAGAACTGGACATTCCTCTTGCAGAGTATGTTGACAGGTAAAGCATAAGATATTTATGCTTCACCGCTCCTCAGGATTAGAGCAAAACTATATTGGCTGCAAATGAGTTAGTTCCTTAAACATAGAGACAAAGGTTTCAGAAACAGGAAGTAGCCTGGGAAAACCTATATTGAATTGAAAGGGTGACGCAAAGTAGTTTTGACAGGTGGATAAGAGCATTATAAGGCGGAACCAGATACGAAGAGGAATTTAAAAACTCACTACCTTCCATAATGAGAACTCATGTTGAGGACTAAAGGATTGTAACATCTAGCAATGATGGCTGATGATTATAAACTAATCCCTATTGGGATTCCTACCGAGCCAGGTACTCCAAGCTCAGATTAGCAGCAACTTCATTAACAGAGCTCTATCCATTTGCTCATTATGTAAGCTTCATGCTGAGATATCAAAACTATCCTACACAATAATGGCAACCCTAATCAAACCATCCCTTGCTATATATCTCAAACTCATGAAAGGGCAGAAGGCCAGCACTTTGGCCCTAAAAATGGTGCCCACTCCACCTTAGATTATGCTAAAATAGGATGGCATCTCAAATATTTGAACAATAGGTTAAGCTATCCGTCTCACACTGCCACCTTGCAGTAAATGTATGAGTTGTATTCTTCACTAACAGGGTGCTAACACAAGCCAAAAAGACCTTCAGCTCACGATGCAATTCTGTAGCGTGGTACACGAATTTCAGTGATATTGTGATGCCAGGTTATAAAGGCTGTACATCCCAACAAATAAGAGAGCATATCAGAAATATTAAATAGCACATCTCTTTGAATGCCAACCATGCTCAACCAGTCTCTGTTTGCAAACATGAGAACAATATCTAAAATTACATGTGATTCTGCTATTGGACAACTGCTAAGAATTAGACTGGAAACCAAATGAATAATATCAGTTGGCACACAGTGCGATTCCCTTGTGTGAGCTAGAAACTATATACACTCACATACACGCAGAACTTCCTGTTCCTTGCAGGCAAACAGAAGCACATACTGCATCTTTTTCAATGAGGGAGCATGAAAAAGGCCAATCCCTGCTGCACATAGGGGAGGCGGTGTCCTTGTGGAATTATTGCTGGTCTGTTAATTCAGAAACACAGGCAATATTCTGGGGACCCGGGTTCAAATCCCACCACGGCAGATGTGGAATTTGAATTCAATAAAAAAAAAGTCTGGAATTAAGACTCTACTGATGACCATGAATCCATTGTCAATTGTTGGAAAAACCCATCTGGTTCACTAATGTCCTTTAGGGAAGGAAACTGCCATCCTTACCTGGTCTGGACTACATGTGACTCCAGACCCACAACAATGTGGTTGACACTTAACTGCCCTCTGGGCAATTAGGGATGGGCAATAAATGCTGCCTAGCCAGTGACACCCTCATCCCATGAATGAATTTAAAAAAGGCAATACTCTCACCAGAGTTGACCTGCCTGCTTGAAATTTATTAATTTAAATAAGACTGACAGCTAAAAGTTTGTGCTACATCTCCATACCAATTAGCAATTGGTGTCCAACCAATTAGCACCCTCTTTTGGTGCTATATAAATTATTGTTTCATTTCTAAAGTTCACTTTCCTGTGTTTCAGTCCTGGAGAATGCAAAGCAAAAGCTTCAACCTCATGTTTCTCTTTAGAAGTGTCTATATTCTGTAGCAGAAAACAATGATAGTACACATGAACAGCTAGACTGCATCCTCAATAACGTCAGATCACATGAGATTTGGACATGATGGAAGATGGTTTAAGTGAGGTTCTGCTCTGCAATGTTCCTGTATGTAATTTAATGGATACTAGTTACTCGTGTGGTGTCCAGACCTCATCTGTCCATAGTTCTCAGAACCAAATTTTGACATTTCTGCATCTATTAGTTGTAGAACCTCTGGGCAACAGGAGGGAGTAGTTCACTGTGTTCTGGTCATTATTTAGTCCTGAACTCACATCACAAAAACAGATGATCTGGACATTATCTCATTCATGTTTGTGGGAGCTTGCTCTGTACAAATTGGCTGTCACATTTTCTACATAACAACAATAACTACATTTCAAATAATGATTCCTTGCAAGACATTTTGAGATATTCTAACGATATGACAGGAACCTTATATATGTATGTGTTTATCTTAAACCTTGTGATGATCTTTCCCATCAACTTGCCAGCACGAGGTAAACATTTTCCTGTTTACTGTGCACCTCTTGCATTTTTGGCAAAAGAAGTTCAACAAATTCTACATTGACAAAAAGTATATGAAGCAAGTCTGGATGTGTCAAATAAAACATGATTGTGCAAGCTTACTGTGGGAATTAACAGACCATTCATGAGAAAATCATAAGACATACCCAACAAAGACAATGACAAAATCCAGAATATTCCAGAAATTCCGCAAGTAGGCATCTGGGTGAAACAGGAAGCCATACACAATGATTTTCAAAATTGCTTCAATTGTGAATATTATCAGGAAGACGTACTCAACCTTTTCCTACAAGAGAGACAGAAAAGTAAGTGTGAGGGTGTCAGAAAACTATGTTGTGACGTTCCTTCTGAGGCAAACAGCTTGCCAGCATCACTTTCATGAGTCAATGGCTTCAGATCCACTTCTATTCCCAGTCCTGTAAAATTCCCTCCCTTCCACCAGAACTAGCTGCAGCAGTTCCCTTCCCGGATCTCTTCCGTGTGGTGATCTAACACCTTTGCACTACCCCGTTAGCCCTGCCCTTCTTCTATCCCCAGCCTGGTTCGCAGTCTCCCCATACTCAAAGTTTTTGATTTTTGCCTTCGGTATAAAAACATTAGCTGAGTTTGTTCCAGGTAGGGCTGGCTTCAGGACAGGGAAAGGGTTTCGAAAGGAAAGGCAGAAACTGATGTACATACTATATCGATTCATAACAAAGCCTTTGTAAATCTCCAAAAATCTTCTGCTGTCCAATTCAACAGATAGACATTGGTGTGTGAAACACGGGAAAGAACACGAATTGTTGCCAATTACTAACTGACCTGTGGAAGGTTCTGGTGAGCTGCTTTCTTGAACTGCTGCACTCTATCTAACGTAGGGACACCCCAAAATACTGTTGGGGTAAATTCTAGGAATTTGACCTTACAACAATGGAGGAACGGTGACATCCAACTGAGGATAATGAATAGCTTGGAGGGTAACTTGCAGGTGGTATCCCTTTGTATCTGCCGCCCTTTTCCTTCTGGATGGTAAAAGTCACTGAGGAAATCCTGAAGAGATGTCCTGGAGTTGAGATGACTGACCTCTAACACATCAGAACATCTTCCTTTGTACCACACATGATTCTAACCAGCAGTGTTTTCCCCTGATTCTCATTGACCTGATGCCACACTCAAATCAAATGCAGCCTTGGTGTCAAGGACTGTCACTCTCACCTCACCTCTGCAATTCAGCTCTTTTGTCCATGTTTGAACCAAGGCTGTAATGGTGTCAGGAGCTGAGTTGCCCTGCAGGAACGCAAACTGGGCGTCACTGAACAGATTATTGCTGAGCACCTTCCATCACTTTACTGATGATCGAGAGTAGACAGATGGGGCATTAATTGGCCAGGTCGGATTTGTCCGGCTATTCATATACACAACATACTTGGGCAATTTTCCACATTGTCAGGTAGATGCCAGTATTATAACTGTACTGGAAGAGCTTGGCTAGGGGAGCAGCAAGTTCTGGAGCAGAAGTCTTCAGTATTATTGCCAGAATGTTGTCAGGGCTCATAGTCTTTTACAATATCCACAGTCACCAACTGTTTCTTGATATCACATGGAGTGAATTGAATTCACTGAAGACTGGTATCCGTAATGCTGGGGACCACTGAAGGAGGCCGAGATGAGTCATCCACTCAGCACTACTGGCTGAAGATTGCTGAGAATGTTTCAGCCTTATCTTTTCCACTGATGTGCAGGGCTCTTCCATCATTGAGCTGGTTAGGTCATATTTGTGAAGCCTCCTCCTCCAGTGTGTTAATTGTTCATCATCGTTCATGACTGGATGTGGCAGGTCTGTAGAGCTTAGATCTGATCCATTGGTTGTGTGATTGCTTAACTCTGTCAACTTGTTGTTTACGCTGTTTGTCATTCAAGTAGTCCTGTTTGGTAGCTTCACCAGGCTGACACCTCATTTTCAGTTATGCCTGGTGCTGTTCCTGGCATGGCCTCCTCCACTCTCCATTGAACCAGGGCTGATCCCCTGGCTCGATGGCAATGGTTGAGTTGGGGATATGCCGGGCCATGAGGTCACAGATCGTGTTGGAGTACAATTCTGCTGCTGTTGATGGCCCACAGCACCTCATGGATGCTCAGTCTTGAGTTGCTAGATCTGTGTGAAGTCTATCCCATTTAGCACGGTGGTAGCGCCACACAACATGGTGGAGGTTATTTTCATTGTGAAGGTGGGACTTCATCTCCACAAGGACTGTCGGGTGGTCACTCTTATCAATACTGTTATGAACATAGGCATCTGTAGCTGGCAGATTGGTAAGGATGAGGTTGGACATGTTTTTCCCTTATGTTTGTTCCCAGTCTAACAGCTATGTCCTTTCTTTTAGACTGAAGCGCCTAGAGGAAACCCCCACGCAGACATGGGGAAAATGGGCAAAGTCCACACAGACAGTCGCCCGAGGGTGGAATCGAACCCAGCGCTATGAGACAGTAGTCCTAACCATTGAGCCACCGTGCCACCCCTGACACGGCTGTTTCTGTCATTGTCTCTTCCAGTACCTAGGTTGATGCCAGGTGATCCATCCAGTTTCATTTCTTTTGTAGAAATTGGAACAACTGAATGGCTTGCTAGGCCATTTCAGGGGGCAACTGAGAGTCAACCATATTGCTGTGGCCAGACCAGGTGAGGGTGGCAGATTTCCTTTCCTGAAGGACATCAGTGAACCATCGACAATTGTGGTCATCAGTAGATTCTTAATTCCAAATATTTCTTGTATTGAATTCAAATTCCACCGTCTGATACGGTGGGATTCGAACTCAGGTCCCCAGAACATTAGCCGAGTTTCTGGTTTAGTAGTTAATAGTTTAATCATTTAATAGCCATCACCTCCCCCGGGCAGGGAGATTAGAGGTGCTGAATATTATTTAAATTGAGAAAGGCTGCAGAAAGCTACAGCATGCAAGGATTTGGGAGTCTTCACATATTTAGGAAGCATAAATGTTCAGCAGGTAATAGGGAAGGCAAATAGAATGTCGGCTTTTATTTCAAAGGGAATGGAGTATAAAATTAAGGAGGCTTTGCTAAAACCATGCTCTAGTCAGGTCACAGCTGGAATACTGTGAACAATATGATTTAATACATTCTGGAACTGGAAGCAGTTAGAGACAATTCACTAGGTTGATGCTGGCTATGGAGGGATTTTCTTATTAGGAGGCTGATGGAGAAAGTGAAGTTGCATGAGGTCCAGGGTGTACTAGCTAGATGGATAGAGAACTGGCTGGGCAACAGGAGACAGAGAGTTGTAGTGGAAGGGAGTTTCTCAAAATGGAGAACTGGGACCAGTGGTGTTCCACAAGGATCCGTGTTGGGACCACTGTTCTTTGTGATATACATAAATGATCTGGAGGAAGGTATAGATGGTCTGATTAGCAAGTTTGCAGATGACACTAAGATTGGTGGAGTAGCAGATAGTGAAGGGGACTATCGGAGAATGCAGCAGAATATACATAGATTGGAGAGTTGGGCGGAGAAATGGCAGATGGGAGTTCAATCCAGGCAAATGCAAGGTGATGCATTTTGGAAGATCCAAATCAAGAGCGAACTATGCGGTAAATGGAAAAGCCCTGGGGAAAATTTATACACAGAGAGATCCGGGTGTTCAGGTCCATTGTACCCTGAAGGTGGCAACGGAGGTCGATAAAGTGGTCAAGAAGGCATATCGCATGCTTTCATTCATCGGACGGGGTATTGAGTACAAGAGTGGGCAGGTCATGTTACAGTTGGATAGGACTTTGGTTCGACCACATTTGGAATGCTGCATACAGTTCTGGTCGCCACATTACCAAAAGGAGGTGGATGCTTTGGAGAGGGTGCAGAGGAGGCTCACCAGGATGTTGCCTGGTATGGAGGGCGCTAGCTATGAAGAGAGGTTGAGTAGATTAGGATTATTTACATTAGAAAGATGGAGGTTGAGGGGGGGCTTGATTGAGGTCTACAAAATCATGAGACGTATAGACAGGGTGGATAGCAAGAAGCTTTTTCCCAGAGTGGGGGACTCAATTACTAGGGGTCACGATTTCAAGGTGAGAGGGGAAAAGTTTAAGGGAGATATGCGTGGAAAGTTCTTTACACAGAGGGTGGTGGATGCCTGGAACGCGTTGCCAGCGGAGGTGGTAGAGGCGGGCACGATAGCGTCATTTCAGATGTATCTAAACAGATACATGAATGGGCAGGGAGCAGAGGGATACAAATCCTTGGAAAATAGGCGATAGGTTTAGATAGAGGATCTGGATCGGCACAGGCGTGGAGGGCCGAAGGGCCTGTTCCTGTGCTGTAATTTTCTTTGTTCTTTGTTCTTTGAGGTTGAGTGGGTCGGGCCTGTACTTCTTGGGTCTGGAATTCAGAAGAATAAGCGATGACTTTATTGAAACATTCAAGGCAGTAGATGCGGAAGGATTGCTTTCCATTGTGGGAGAGTGTAGGTCCAGAAGTTATAATTTCAGAATAAAGTGTTGCACATTTAAGGCTCAGATAAGGAGGAATTTCTTCTCTCAGAGTGTGGCGAATCTGTGGAATTCTTCACCACACAGAGTTGTTGAGGCTGTGTTGTTACGGATATTCAATTTTTAATCAGTATGGGACTTAAGGGTTATGGGGAAAAGGCTGGAAAGTGAAGTTGAGGATTATCAGATCAGCAATAATCTCACTGAATGCCAAAGAAGACTGGATGGGCTGAATGGTCTACTTCTGCTCCTATGTCATGATCTTTGACAACTCCTCTGCTATTTCCTGATTCCCCATTATATCCCCAGGCTCATTCTCTAAGGGGCCTAAGCCACTTTGCTTTCTCTCTCTATCGATTTAAAGAAGGTCTTGCTATCCATCTTGATAGTAGTTGCAAGTTTATCCTCTTCCCTCTATCAGTTTTCTGATTGTCTTTTGTTGGTTTTAAAACTTTCCAAATCCTCTGGCTTACCACTAATCTTTCCTACATTGTATGTTTGTTCTTTCAATCTGATGCTATCCTGAACTTCCCTGGATAAGCACTGTTGCTGATCCCCTTCCTACATTCCTTCTAGAAACATCCCAGTAAGAATACTGGGATATATTTTTACTGTGGGGCTACAAACTACTTTTCTCAACCATCTTTACAGATAAACTCATTTCCCAATCCACTCCAGCCAGCTTTGCCCTCGTTCCTTTGTAATGACTCCATTTTGAGTTGAGCACCGTTGTTTCCAACCCACATTTCTCCCTCTCAAACTGAATGTTAAATTCTACCATGTTATGGTCACTATTTCCTAGGGGATCTTTTACTCTGACATAATGTATTAAACCTGCTTCATTATACATGACTAGATCTAAAAATAGCCTCATCTCTGATTGGATCCATAACGTTTTGTTCTAGGAAACTGTCCCAAATATACTCTACGAATTCTTCCTCTGCTGTGACTATCACAGTCTACATGAAAATTAAAGTTATCCATGATCAACGTAGTGCTTTTTTGATGTAGCCTCATTATCCCCAATTTATTCGCTGTCCTACCATATATTTACTGATAGGGAACCTGTGGGCTATACCTTTTCCACTACTTAGTTATTGAGCTGTACGGCAGAGAAACAGACCCTTTGGTCCAACTCGTCCATGCTGACCAGTTATCCCAAATCAATCTAGTCCTATTTGCTATCATTTGGCCCATATCCCTCTAAACCCTTCTTATTCATATACCCATCCAGGTGCCTTTTAAATGTTGTAATTGTACCAGCCTCTACCACTTCCTCTGGCAGCTCATTCCATACATGCACCACCCTTTGTGTGAGAAAGTTGCCCTTTAGGTCCCTTTTAAATCTTTCCCCTCTCACCTTAAACCTATGATCTCTAGCTTTGGACTCCCCCACCCCAGGGAAAAGACCTTGGCTACTTACCCTATCCATGCCCCTCAGGGTTTTATAAACCTCTAAGGTCAACCGTCAGTCTCTAACACTCCAGGGAAAATAGCCCCAACCTATTCAGCCTCTCCCAATAGCTCAAACACTCTAACCCCTGTGGGGGGTGGGGTGCAGTAAGATTGCACTTTAAAAATAGCCACTTAGCTGTTCCCCTGCTGTGAGCACCGCCCTCCCCCACCCACACCCACACAGGTTTCTCCTAAGTCAGCTGTGAATTTTACTGTTTGTTTATTTTTCTTAGAAGGAACTTTGATGTCCAGAGATATTTGAAACTAAACAACAGAGACATTCAGCTGTACCAGTTCACTGCTTGGTCACACAGCTGTGCAGGCTTATTTCTCCATTTGTTTCACCTCCCACTCGGTCTCTGCTTTGTCTCTCTTCCTCCTTTATAAAGTGCCATTATTTTGATCTCTTTCTTTTCTAAAGTTCCAAAACAATGCAAAAGTTTATAAAACAGTGATTACTGTGTTTAGAATTTGGGGAAATTAGCCCCAATACTGAAAATGCCTCAAAAAAGGAGCAGCCCTTACAACCGCAATTTTTTCCTATCCTCTGTCTTGCATTACCCAGAATCCTTTGCTCTTTCGCCTTTTATTTCTTACCTCCAACTATATAGATTTTACGTCTTCTGATCCAAGATCCTTTCATGTTTTTATACATGTAGAGGTGAACTATACCTGCTTACACTAAAGTGGCCCATGTTTAAAAGACACAAAATGGCCGACAAGGGTTAGAACAAAATGGGACAGCCTGCTCCACCATTTAAATGAAACACAATGATACCTTTGAACAAGACTACTCTAAGGTTAGCAAAAGAGCCTTACCACCAACCATCTGAGGCAGTTTTAATAAAAGAATGCCTAAGAACAGATAGGGATTAATTCCAGCCTCATTAATGAAAAGATTATTATCCCAGTAAATGAATAACACCAGGTGTGAGTCTCACCCCATGAACCATCCCGATTAACTATCTAGTAGCTGCAAAGAGAACAGCTAAAGATATTTTGCAGGAATTAGCTTTTTACCTACAGCATTAAGAAATAGGCTTTAGTTAAAGATTATTCAGATAATCATAGAAGTAGTTTTCAACATATAACCAGAATATATTACAAGCATTAGGGCAAAAGCATTTAAACCTGTTTGTGAAAGTTAATTAGCCCGAGGAAACATCTTATCTTATGCTTTAAGCAAGATAGGTTGTTCACAATCCATTAATTACAACGTGCTAAGAGTAGGAGAAGCTGTACAACTTTACATTTTATAACTAACGTTATAATCGAAATTAACCTTATAGCAATTAGTTAAAACTAACCGCCTTTTGTATTTTTACATAAATAATTAGGACAATGGCAAATATGAGGAATGGCTGAATTTGATAAAAGAAAGCACATGTAGTACCATGAATAATAGAATTCACATTGTCCTTAGAGATAAGCAGCTTGAGACAGATCTGAAGGAGTATAGCCAACAACTTTGGAATGTGAATGAATAGCCTGCAAAGAAAGATCCCCAGGCCTAGAGATTACAATGTCTGGTAAACACCATAAGACCATGGGAATCTGGGGCTATTGATAGGAATGCCCATCATTGATTAGGTCTCCCACAGGAATGAGTGTATAGATTAAGAAGGAAGGACAGTGACTATGCTGTATTTGATTAATGAAACATAAAATGTGTAAAATGTTGTATTTGCACTGTAAATATCAGAGTGTGTCATTGATCTCTCTTCTGCTCTGAGCCAAAGATTAAGGGAAAAATTGCTTTCTTACATTGAGGCCAGATTCAGGGAAGATCCTTTGGCCCTTTCCTGCATTAACCGGTTTCTGCTCGAATAAACGTCTTCCACTTGCCTGAATCTTGCCTGCCTCCTGAGTTTTTGTCTCCGGTCGGGGTCTACGCTCCTGCTATACTGTCCGATCGCCCTCTTCTTCCTACCTGTACATTCAAAGCGTGACATGCTCCTGAATTTTAATTCCAAGCTTTGATCTCCTGGTATCTATGTCTCTATGATGGCTACTAGTTCACACCCATAAACTTGCATTGGTGCCATTTATTTTGTTTCAAATGCCACATATATTCAAGTAAAGAGTCAATAGTTTTGCCTTTTTACCATTTTTGCCCCTTTGGCCCCATTTACTGCTAGTTTTTGATGTCTGTGCACTCTGTCCCTTCCTGTACCACTCCGGTCTTAATTATCCAAGTAACGCTGCCATATCCTCTTGCAGTAAGCCTACACTTCCAAACCATCACCCCTCTAATTAGTTTAAAGCCCTCTCTACAGTCCAAGGTATTCAGTTTACCAGGGCATAATCCAGCACAGTTCAAGTGAAGCTCATCCCACCAAAACAGCTCCCTTCTACCCGAGTAATGGTGCCAGTGCCCCACAAACCGAAACCTATTCAATCCATTTCTGAAGAAGGGTCTAGACCCAAAATGTCAGCTTTCCTGCTCCTCTGATGCTGCTTGGCCTGCTGTGTTCATCCAGCTCTACACCTTTTTATCTCAGATTCTCCAGCATCGGCAGTTCCTACTATCTCTGTAACAATTTTAACCCCACTGCGAAGCCCCATTTCTAAAGGAGGGTCTAGACCCGAAACGTCAGCTTTCCTGTTCCTCTGATGCTGCTTGGCCTGCTGTGTTCATCCAGCTCTACACCTTGTTATCTCAGATTCTCCACTATCGGCAGTTCCTACTATCTCTCAATCCAGACAAATCTTTCTGCTAAATATGTAACTCCTTCACTTTATTTACCCCACGCCAATTTGCCCAAGGCTCAGGTAGTAATCCAGAGATTATTATCTCCTAAGTCCAGCTTTTTAATTAAGATCCTGACTGTTCAAATTCTTTCAGGAGGACCTCATTTCAAGTTTTACCAAGGTCATTGGCACCAATGTGGATGATAACAGCTAGATCTCTCCCCTCACTCTCCAAGTTCCTCTCCAGTCCCAAGAAGTTATCCTTAACCCTGACACCGAGCAGGCAATACAGGCCTCGGGACTCCCACTCAAAGCTTCAGAGAACAGAATCTGTCCCTAATTATACAATTTCCTACCACAACTACATTTCTATCTCCTCCTGCAACTTGAACATGCCATTGTCAGTTTGCTCATCGTCCAGGCAGTTCCCATTCTCAACCATACAGCATGCAAGAACCTCATAACTGCTGGACAATTGCAAGGGCCGAGGCACCACTACAGCAACCCTCTGGGTCCATATACCTGCACACCAGCATTCACACCCTTCTGTCGCTGATCACACACCAATTTTAAATTAAATAATCTGAGAGGGATGTAGATAAACTGGGGCGAGAGGGATGTAAATAAACTGGGGCGAGAGGGATGTAAATAAACTGAGGGTAGCAATGTAAATACACTTGATAGCGAGGGTTTTGAAAGGGGTGGAGTAGAGATGTAAATACTCTGGCAAGTGGATGGACGGATGCACATACAGTGGCTTAAACAGTGCATGTTTGGGGAGGTGGTGTGTGCTTGTAAAGTTTGAGACTGTAAATAAATAAATAACTGGGGAAAGACTGATTCCTGTTCTGTCCTTCACCAGTTGACTGACTGGTTTGGAACCAGGGTTGGGGTGTACCTGTGATGTTCAACGTGGTGTACCTCTGATCTTTTTTGAGCAGTTCTGCACAGACCACTTCATGGCAGAGTGTACTTAGTTGAAAGACTATCTGCTGTTTTAGTTGTTTATATTCAGATAATTGTGAAGGACTCACTGATAACTTACCAACTTGAAATTCAACGAATTGGTGTCATCTCCTGGAAGGGGCGTGTACACAGCCAGGGCCACACAATTGGCAAAGATGGTAATTAATATGATAATTTCAAAGGGTCTGACAATGGTGTCAAGGATATCCCCATTCACACAACCAATGACATCCATAGTCTCATAAAACACATTGAGGGATGGTAAAACATAGGTCATATATGGAGTAAAAATCTCTCTATATTGTCTTATCCATTGGTCCAACACAGGTGAACGGAGGTTAACTACAAAATAAAATTCTTTGCGAATACTCCCATGAAACAGTTCCAGAGAATTAGAACAGCTATGATACAGGCTAAAAATCCCTGTATGTTTTCCCAGCAGAAACTCCTACATTATTCCATGAATCTCCCAAGACAGATACAGCATGTGATCAGATAGAGAGTAAAGTTCCTTCTATACCAACCCCATCGAACACTGCCAAGGCAGGTACAGTACATGTTTACATATAGAGTAAATCTCCCTTTACACTATCCCTATCAAACACTCCCAGGACAGGTACAGCACGGAATTATATGGAGAGTAAAGTTCCCTCTTCATTGCCTCAACGAAAGATCTGAAGGTGTGAGATTTATCTTTGGTTACTCCCACAGTATTCAGAATTATTGCAGCAACAGTCTCCAATAGAGACCTATAACATTACGAAGCAGCAGTTTAGTCAGATCTGCTGGAACCAACTGGAGAGGGTCTGTAATCCCCTTTAATACAGGAGTGTGAGCTCAGTGCGACCCCTGACCATTGACACATTAAGCAGGCTTTAGCTCACCTTATATGGACTGAGAACAGTGACAGCTGCACAACCTATGTTGAATGACATCTCCCACAACACTCAACAACTCTATTCCTGTCTCCTCATATCCCTCCTTGGCCTGTTTCTATTTATCCTATACTTTAAATCTCTCTCTGTCTTTTGCCACATCCCTGTGAATCATTATAAACACACATTATTCATATTCAAACATTGTCCCCATTGTGCTGGTTCTCACCTTCCTACTGGGTCTCTATCTATCTGTTAGGAACCTTCAGTTTCTCTCTGCAGGTTCAATCTCTTTCTTCGTTTCTTTAACTTTCCACTCTCCCTGTTTTATCCCCTCCTTTTCTGTTTCACCATCCACCTCTCTACTGCCCTTTCATTTTATTTTGCTTTGTCCTCATTCTCCATCCCTTTTTCCCTCCCTCACTAAACCCTCTGCATTATCTCCCATTTCTTCCACACTCTCTCTCTTGTCCCCAACACTCCCTCACTGTCCCCTCACTCACTCTCCCCATCTCTGTCCCTGTATCACCTTCATTCACCACAAACTCTTCTCTTTCCCACCCTCTCTTTCTTTATTTTACACTAAGTTCCCCACTTCTTACCCTCCCTCCTACAATGTGACTCTTCTGTACCTCCTCCGACTCCCTTCTCATCCTGTATCTCTCCATGTCCTCCTACTCCCTCTTTCTCCCTCCCCTTCCTTCTCCTCCAATAGCCCCCTCACTACCACACCCCTTCTCCTCCACTCACTTCTCTCCTCCTTCTATCCCTCTTCCCTCCCCATATCCCTCTTCCCAGTTCTCTTTCCCCTCCAACAACCTCCCCTTACCCTCCCAATGCCCCACCCCTCCTCCACCTCCACCCCCACCCCACTCTTCCCACCCCTGTCCCCTAGCCCATCCCCCTGCTCCCCATCCCTCTCTGCCTCCTTCCCCCTCTCCACATCCCTTCCCCCACTTCCCTCCACCTCCGAAGGATACTTCCACTCTACGATGCTGGTGCAGACTTTGCGGAGCGGGTTTTGGAGACTCAGACACAGGAGGGATCGGGGTGGCCGAGGCGGGCCGGCACACACCGGCTTCTTGGCCTTTTTACTGTCCACCCGCCGGCTCTTCAACTCCCCGGCCGCCTCCAGCTTCGCGTCCATGGTGTTCCCAGCCCCGCTCCCGCTCCGGCCCCGCGGTAAAACTGCTGACCGCCCAGAAATATCACAGGATAAAATTAGAGCGAGAGCAAGCCGTCCGGGAGCGAGAGAGAGAGACAGCTGCACGGGGCAGGGGGAGAGGGGTGTTATGGGGGGGAGAGAGGGGTGTTAT